CTGGGTTCAATTCTCAGCACCACATTAAAATAAATAAGTAAAATAAAGGTTCATCAACATCTAAAAAAGAAAATTCTGCTTATCCTTCAAGTCTCTCTTCAGCTATCACCTTTTCCACGAGGAAGCTTAGCAAAGGGCTATCTCATTAACTTTTTTCTGTGCTTAGTACCTTAAAACATTACAAATAAATAGCTCCCTGCCCTCATGCAGCAGCAAAGCTTAATGGTTACATGTGGGGTTTGGGAATCAAATTCTCCAGGTTTAAATATCATCTCTCTCATTAATAGCTGTGTGGCCTTAGACAAGTTATTCTACCTCTCTGAGTCAGTTTCCTCCTCTGTACATATGACAGTACAGTATTGGGAAGATGCAGTTAGATACACAGAGGCACACCAAGGCTGGCACCTAATGAGTTCTCATCTCAGACGGAGGCCATGACTGTGGGAGCTGCTCACCTCCCACACCAGACCTTAAAGAGAGGGACTGCGTCTCGTCTCCATCCTTGAGCCTCCAGATTTCAGAGAAGAAACGGGAACATAGTAGCTGCTCAATCTTTTTCTCACTGAATTGAATGATGTGATATTATGTGAGAGCCACCAACAGAGGGAGTCCAAAGGTTAATTTCTGAGGGTGGAAATTTATATATATATAAAATTCTATTTTCAGGGCGGGGGGGGGAAAGGTGGAAATGTGAGTTGGATTGCAATAGGAGCATGATTTTGCCCATTAGACATGGAAGGGGCAGTGGCGGGAGGTTGGCTCTGGGGTCTGGGGTGGCCGGGAGATTTCAGGAACACTTTGGCAAAGGCACAGCGGGGGAGCCGCGGACTCCCTGACCTGGGGCTCGCTGGAGCTTACCTGGGTTGCAGGTGGGTCGTGACCCAGGTAGGAGTGAGTGAACAGGGCCCGCAGCCTTAACCTGCATCACCCACCAGGGTTCCACCTGGGCAGCCGTGGTGCCCCTGCAGGGGCCCGCGGGGAGGGCACACAGCCACCTCCCACCTCCTCGCTCTTCCAGGGGCCACACAGCCATGTGAGGGTCTCAGCCTGCCATCGCCATGTGAGGTTCACAGATAAGCACGAGGGAGACACACGTCCTAGCGGCACCGCTCATTCGGTGGATGGCTGTGGGATGCCCACTGTGTACAGGCGCCGCGCGTGGCACCAAGCAAGCAAAGACCCTGACCTGGTGGAGCTTTTGCTCTAGAGTGGGAGACCGTCAGCAGCAAATCAGCAATTAAGTCTATTAAATCCCCAGGTGCAGGAGTGAAGGGCTGTGAGGGGAACTAACGGCGGGTCATGAGGGAGCGGCCACCAGGCGGTCAGGGAAGATGGCTTTGGGGCAGAGGTCTGAGTGAGGTAGGGCAGCAAGCCACACAGCCACCTGGGAGAAGAGCGTTTTCAACGGAGGAAACGGTAACCCTAAAGTCCCAAGGTGGGGCTGGACTTGGTCTAAGAAGTGAGCGGGCGGGTGTGGCTGGAACAGGTGTGCAGGGGAGCCCGCAGGAGAGGGAGCTGGCAGCGGGCAGGGACAGGCCAGAGGGAGGGATGCTGTCCACCATGCGGCCAGTGCATTGGTTTCATTAATGAGGTTCTTGGCATAAAAGTTAGCTAGCAGAGATCGAAATAAAACACAGAGACTCAGTTACCTTTTTCTATGACCAGGTCCGAGACGGCTCCCCTCTCTGGCTCCAACCTCGAACCACCGGTAGGGCAGCAAGAATTACTCAGGGCTAGCAGGAGAGAGAGAGCGAGCACGCCAGGGAGTAGCCTTTTATTGGGGAACAAGAAATTCAGGGGAGAATTCCATCCAATGAAGGTTGAGGGGGGCCACACTCCAAGCTCAGGGTCAGTGATTGGCCCCCGGGGTCAGTGGTCAGTCACACCCCCACACGGACGGGTTCTCTCATCAGGAGAGGGCCGGGAAAGCTCCGACACAGATTAGTCAGAGCGCCTCAGACCCAAACCGGGAGTCGCCCAGTCACGTGTGAGAATGTCTCTCCACAATGCTGGATAATGCTAACTGTGAGCAGGCTGCACTGCCAGGCCAGGGGCAGAGCCAAGAGGCCCCTCACAGGCAGGCAGTGGCCAGAGTCCAGCAGGGTGATGACAAACCAGGGCCACAGCAGTATAGATGGTGACGAGTGACTGGACATGTTGGAACTGTGACATACATAGGCTGAGGCTGGAGCCAATGACACTGATGGATTCTCACCTTAGGGTGTGGCAGAAAGAGAAGTCCGGGTCTGAGTCACCAGCCTGCGTGGCTGGTTTTTTGTCTGTGTGTTTAGGCATGAGTCAGGAGCTCATGTGGCTCATTGGACAGCAGATAATGTCCATCCCTCCCTCAAGGAAACACATAACCATAGTGGAGCCCCAGGTGTGGCCTGCTAACCACCTATGGCCCACATGCCTGCAGGCAGGGACAAGGACACAGGAGGGCACCTGGCTGGGCCTTTGCACCCACATCTAAAAAGCTGCTGGCTCCTGATCAGGGTCAGACTTACTGGGCAGGCCGGATAAAACTCTGCTCCATCAAAACCCAGACCAACAGCCTGGCCAGATCCTGGCCTAGGAGATGACTGGCCCAGGGGTGGGTCTGACCACACACAGCCCTCGCCTCAGGACAACACGCCAGGCCGGTGGCAGAGGGCACAGCAGATTTTTTTCCCAGAAACTGAAAGTCAAGGAAGTGATTCAATTCAGAGACAGGACCATCCTGGGACACAAGGCACTGGACACAGAGCCCACTCCCCAGGCTCCTTGGCGGTGGGCCCTGCAGTGGGTACCAGACACGACAGGTGCCCCGAGGCTCAATTCTGCTGTCTCACATTGTCCCTTGACTCTACTCACGGAGAGTGGCATAAAGAAGCCCCTGCTAAGAACAAGCCAGAGGCCAGGCCCCTGCTGTCCCACAGCCCGTGTCCAGAACAAATGTAGCTCACACTTTCCAAGAGATGGCCCAGGCTTTTAAAGAGAGCAGGAGGAAATACTTTTCTTGGAAAACAAATCACAGCTTAGCGACAGAGCTGGTTTGGGGGTGCATGGAGCCCCCCATCCCATTTCCAATGCTTTTTAGCTCTTATGAAAGGTTTTCCATTGCATTATGATTTTATTCAATGGGTTTTCACTCCAAAAATAAAGCTCTGCTGAGTTGGGGAGAGAAACCCCGCTGTGCCCTTCTGGAGCCTTGAGAATGCGGGAAGGAGCAACAAAGGAAAGACATTGCACATTTTAAGGGCTTGTTCAGGTGCCCTGAGAACTTAGTAAATGATTTCATTTGAAAAATTCCAACTCGCAATTCAATCATTCTTCAATGAGAAATATATGATTTGCCAAACATGAAATGGAATCATTAAGCCCCGACGAAACGCAAAACGGTGGCTGTGCGTGTCCTGTGACTCCCTCTGCTCAACAAATTAGGGGTCCCTGTGGAAGGCACGCGGTGCTGCCCGGAGCAGGGATGCACACTGGTCATGCAATCACATGCAGCTCAACATATCGCAGACATTTAATCACCCACCCCACCCTATCTGCCGCACGTGCACACACACACAGAAGGGGAATCTGCCTCCTTCTGGGTGTCTCAGTACCCAAAGCACCACACAAAGACAGAATAAACCATAATGTAACATAAAATTGTGTAGAAACACACACACAAGCACGAGCACTGGCAGAATTGAATTCAAGTTGGTAGTCTGGTGGACACTATTAGATCACATTGGCTCCCTGGTTTTGACATTGTGTTATAGTTATTGAAGACGGTACCGAAGGGCAAGGCTGGATGAAGATGCACAGGGCTCTCTACCATTTTTGCAAACTCCTGTGACTATAGTTAATATAAAGTGTTTTTAAAATGTCCAGTGGGCTGATGTGATGGCAAATGGACCAGGACCAATGGAAATACACGCTCACACATGTCCTTTACATTTCCGCTAGATGCCCACTTTGGCATAGCGCCCAGAAATCACCATAGCCGTTGTTTCATGAAATTATGCCCCAGAGGTGACAAGAAGTTGATCATTAGAGGAAGAATGTAGAGCACGTGTCCTTAAGTCACCTTGTCCCAAACCAGGCCTGGTGAAGACCGATATCCTGGGCAGGGGCCTCCTGCTCATGACATAGGCTTCCTCTAATGCCAAGCCTACCTGGGACCCAGCCAGGGTAAGAGAGGGTTCAAAATCCCACTGGCCCAGCCCCTGAATGATGAAGGATGGAGCCCGGGAATTTGCATTTATAATGAGAGTCCTGGGCAGTACCACCATGGGGGTCCTGGGGCGCCACTTTAGGAAATGGTACAAGCCTGGGCAGGGGTCTGGGAGCATGGCTTTCTTGGCTTCCTGATCCAGGGCAGGGAGAAGAGCTGGGGTGCTCAGCATCCCAGAGCCAGGAAGAACTTTAGACCCCAGAGATGTCCAGCTCCTGTGCAATGCCATCTCAGTCAATCCTCACCCCTCTGCTCCTGGGGAATGGTTTTCCCACTGAGCAGATGAGAACACTGAGGCTCAGAGAGGTCCCCAGTCACAGAGTCAGAGGGAAGCCAGGCAGGGGTTTCCCTTCTGGGACGCGGCCTCCCTGTCTGACACAAAGCCTCCTTTAGGGCTCGTATCCTCCCGGGCAAAAGTCCTGCTCAAAAATAACAGAAACTTCAGGGCTTGTAAGGGTCGACAGGGAAGGGGAAAGGTCACCCCAGTCCTTGGTTCACGGCATCAGTGCTCCTTCCCAAGGCAGAGCTACACCTCTCAAAGACTCCCTTCCACGGCCCCTTTATCCCTCCCTGCCTTCCACCTTGGGTCCTAGTCTCTCCTCATTTTCCTCCTCTCTTCCCCTTGACCCTGACTTTTTTGTTACTTTTCTCCTTTTGTCCCTGAAGTTCAAAACCACAGACTCGACATGCCCCTCCATTTTTCGCATCTCCCTGATGGCTGATGTGAGACTCTCCGGGGCCACCCCATGGCACGAAGACACAAGAACAGGTTCCTAGCCAGGCGATGACCTACCGTCTTCCAGGGGACACTGTGGGATCTTGTTTGCCCAGAGGTTCCAGATGTAGTCCATGTTCCACTCGAGGCACACCCGATGGTCCTTGAAGGGGCGCTCAAAGGGCGGGACCGTCTTCAGCAGAGTGTAGTTCTTGGCCACGGCGTGGAGCAGGTTTTCCTCCCACTTCACATTCGCGTCTCCGCCACCGCGTTGGTGAGAAATCCAGGCTCTCAGTACCACCGTGGAGACGGAGATGGAGTGCCTGATGAAATAGTCATCTCGGTAAACCATGATGCTCGGAAATCTCACCTGGACCCTCTGCGTCCTGCTGGTGTGCAGATGCTTCTCATTCTTCCACCGTTTCTTGTACACAGGGATGCTACTTCTGAACTCGGAGGAGACCACGGCCTCCAGGCTGACCACACAAGGCTGAGAGCACAAGTACTCGATGGAGACCTCGGAAACGTTACGCACGTTTCCTTCCAAGACGGTGAAATAAATAAAGTCTTTGTAAGTTGCGCCCTGCTCGGCTTTGGGGACCACAGACGTCGTCAGGGAGGTCTGCCTACCCAGAGACGGCACGAAATTCTGTAAAGGAGAAAAATAAAAAAACGTGAGAGATACAGAAGGTCAGACATGATCATGTTAACACAAGCGCACACATCATTATTTTCCTGGGATGCAAAACACCAATCTACATAAGAGATGTCGAAAGCACCATTAAGGATTGGAGAAAATACAACACACACATGCACACACACACATTAAACCCTCTCCCGGGCTCAGCAGCATCTGCTGGTCAGAATGTGACTTTCAAAGCTACGTGGCAACCATTCCAAAGCCCGATTCCCAATGGAAGAGTGAATCCACGGCAAACCCATTAGCAACTAAAGCTGCCTTAGAGCGACAGAGACAACCTGGCTTCAGACATTTCCAAACTATTGTCCTGACTTCAAATGGCAGTCAAAGGTTGCCAGATCAAAGGTGGCACAAGAGTTCAAAGTGCACCTGCCAGGCAAGAGGGCAGGGATGCCAGCCTGTCCCCAGTTCTCCTGGAGGTGCAGACAGGACACATCTGCATGAGGGACCGACCCACAGATTCCCACAGCTCCAAGTCACACTCAGGAAGCCAGGGCCACGAACTGTGGTGTCTGAGTCTCCCGCCATGACTGATGCCACATGGACCAGGAAACGTCTTAGCTGTGTGTTTGCTGAGCTTGTCTTTAAATGATCAAGCCTCTCACTGTGGACATTCCTTCCAGAAGACATCCGGGAAGCTTGGTTATGAAGTCAAGGCAATGTTTGAAGCATGTGGTACTGAAATAGGGGTGCCAGGATCTCTTCTAAGTCTGGCTTTGTGATTCACTGTCCAAACCACAGTAGCCCAAAGGTCACTTTGGATCACTTCAGACCCATGAGAAGAGCTACTACAGGAGCAGAAGGAGGAGGAGGAGGAGGAAGAGGAAAGAAAAATAGAAGATAATGCATGTTGGTGGGGAGATGAAGAAATCAGAAGCCCTGTGCACTACTGGTAGGTGCACCTGCTATGGGAAAAAAGCACAGCAGTTTCTTTTTTTGAAATGACATGTCTAGTCGGGCAAGGAGGTGCACGTCTGTAATCTCAGCTACTCAGAAGCCTGAGGCAGGAGAATCACAAGTTCAAGGCCAGCACCAGCAACGAAGCAACCCCTTGTTTCAAAATAAGAAGTTTTAGAAAGGGATGAGGATAGAGCTGAGCAGTAAAATTCCCCCGGGTGCAATCCCTAGTGATGAAAAAAGAAGAAAATTAGACACACAAGTAGCACCCGAGCTGATTCGGCGATTGTACTTCTGGGTATATACCCGAAAGACATGAAAGCAGGGCTGGGAGGGGAGCGCTGTGTGCTCAGCATTCTTCACAGTAACTAAAAGCAACTCAAGATAAACAAAGGCGGAGAACACGCACTGGGATGGAATGAAATTCTGATACATCTATGACACCGAGGAAGCCGGAGGACTAGCTAAGAGAAGTGAGCAGCCGGACCAACAGAACAGTGTGGTGCGATCCGCTTACATGAGCGGATCACAGAGACACGGGACAACGGGGTTGCCAGGGCCTGGCGGGGCCAGGGCAGCGGGTGTAGGAGGGGTCAGAGTTTCGGTGTGGGATGACATAAGTGTGCCGGAGATGGGACGTGCTGGCCGTCACACAGCAACGTGAATTCACTGAAGACTACCGAACTAGACGCTTCAACATGACTAAAATGGCAAGTTTTATGTTATGAAAAAGGTCACTCTGGTCTCCTCCAAAAAAAAGAAGAAGAAGAAATAGAGTCTCGGTTCTTCAATTCTGGCTCGGAGCCATGCAGAGGCGTGAAGTGTGACATTAGGGATGTCAAGAAATCACGGTGGTGAAGGGGGAGCACCGTCAGGGCTCAGATGCCAAAGCCCGGGGGAGACAGCACAGGACCCAGGGACCTGCCTGGGGCTAGAGAGCAGGCTTCATGGGAGAGGTGGCATCTCGGTGGGGCTTTGAGGGACGAAGAGAAGTTCTTCAGGTGAGGATCGTGTGGCCAGTGAACACCAGGGGGGAGATACAAATACACACGGGGAGACAGGACAGAAAGAAAGGCGGTCCTGGCCTTGGAGTGTGGAGTCCCCGCCCCAGGAAGGCGACTTTCACTCTACAGACAGCGAAGACCAAGGAAGGTGCTGTAAAAGAGGGTGGTGTGTCCCTTTTAAAGCAACTGACAGCCAATCAGAAACATAGCCAATGATCCACAGGAAAGGGAGCAACTGCTGTAGCTCATTGATAAGTAAATTCTCACTCAAGTAAGAGGAAGGCAAGTGGAAACCACACCGGGGTACCGTTTTTAACCTAGCAGACTCACTGATCAAAACTTCAGGTTGCATGTTACTGGCTGGAGTTAGGAAGCATGCTCTCTTAGGTATGGCTGGTGGCAGTAATCACCGAGGACAGACGCTAATTCCATTCTAGGAGCTTATCTTACAAATGTATTCAAACCTGTGTGAAATGATGTACACACAGCTGTCTCACACCAGCACTGTTTCCACAGCAGAGGATGGGAAATTTCATCGAGAGGGGCTGATTAAATTATATTACATCTGCCGGGCACAGTGGCACATGCCTGTAATCCCAGCAGTTGGAGAAGCTGAGGCAGGAGGATCACAAGTTCAAAGCCAACCTCCGAAACTGAGGGAGGTCCTAAGCAATTCAGGGAAACCCTGTCTCTAAATAAGATATGAAGGGGGAAGGACAGGGAATGTAGGTTGGTGGTTCCGCACCCCTGGGTTCAATCCCTGGTACAAAAAAAAAAATTTATAGTACATCCATTCCTGGAGTACTATACAACTGTGAAAAGAGGAACATCTTCATGTGCAGACCATGGGATAACCTCTAAAGGGTTTTTGGTTTGAAGTTTTTTCTTTTGTTTTGAAGCAGATTCAAAAATACCATATTGAGTTTTACACACACACACACACACACATACACGGTAAAAAAAAAATTCCTTGAATACACACAGCACTGATTGTTCACATGGAACGAGGACAAGGATAAGGTGACCAGAGACAAGGCAAGAGGGTGCTAGGCCTTGTGCTCTCTTCTTTATCCTTCGAATTCTGCACCACATGAATATTCAAAGAGCAGGGAGAGCTACAGTCCTGAAAGGTGACAGTGGAAAATGCAGTTTCTACAAATGGCAGAGAAGAATGGAAGGGCGGGCCGTTTCCTCTGATTAGTCATGGGAAACCTGTAGGAAGAAATATGTAGAGTAGGTACAGTCCAAACTGTGGTCCCCCACAGGGAGCGATTGCATTGTTTTATGTTCTCATTTATGCTGCCAAATTACAGGGAGAAAACAAATATGAAAACGATCTGATAATTGGAAGAGGAGAACCTAGGAGAGGGGAGCCCTGGGGGGCGCCTGCCCACGCCCTCAGACTGCGAACCAGGAAGCCACAACTAAGAGCGGAGTCTCGCGCGTGGCCCAGCTGCTGGGTCAGCAGACGTGAGCCTGGCTGCCACCGGATGCCACCGGATGCCAGGCCCCTGTCCTTCACTGGCAGCCCCCCCCCCCCAATGCGTGGTGCAACTCGGAAGACCCACTGCTTCTCGGTGGCCAGGACCACGCAGCTCTGCGTCAAGCACTTAAGCGCGCCCCAGAGCTGCGCCCAAAGCCAGAGCTCGCCGTGCCCCTGACGCTGAGGGCGGCTGGCCCAGAAGAGCAGCCGAGGGGCGGCCAGCGCGTCTTGATCCCACAGCAACGGGCCAGATGCTTCCCTGCCAAATTCAGCGCAAGGAGACGTTTGCTTATTTAGTGAGACAACAGGAAGTGCTGAGCCCAGGACATGCTATGGTATATTAAATATAAAAAATCGTGTTCTTTTCCAAAGAACGATTTCAACCCCTTCCTCCTTCGTTTTATTTGTACTTTAAAAACTCACCCAGGCCCAATTCTCCTGCTTTGCCCTTTTTTTTTTCCTTCCTCCCTCGTAATGGCTTTAATGCGGATGCAGCTAACTCCAATGAAAACCTCTTTTAAACAGAATGCTGGCGAAAGGCCATTTGATTTCATGAGATTTCATCGCAAAGTGCAGTTAATAATAATCCACTTCATTATTTTACATCTGATTGCTAAACATGCACCCGTCACACTTTTCCACATTAATAAGCACAGCAGCCCTCTGGCCTGGTTTCAGTTGGCTTGGTGTGTCACACATACCACTGTGCATGAGGAGGTAGAGACACACCTGACCCGGGTCCTCTCTGGGTCCTTCTCTGCAAATTCTGTTCCCAAGAAAATCTTCATACACTCCAATATGAAGATTATTTTATTTTCACCTGCTTCAAAGTCTCAAGCACCGTAAAAGCACACCCCAGGGACAGGAGTTCTAGACACAGGCTACCCAACATGGCAGTCCCCTGGCAGATTAGACACTTGCAAGGTGGCTGGTCCTCACTGAGATATGCCCTAAGTACATCAGACACACTGATTTCAAAGCCTCGGGATTTAAAGAAAGACTTTGAAACATCTCATTAATAATTTTATATTGATTGCATGTTGAAGTGATAATATTTGGATACCTCAAGTTAAATAAAATATTAAAATCAATTACACCTGTTCTTGTTGATGTTTTTGATATGGAAACTACTGAATACAAAATCATATTATGTGGCTTGAACTCTTCTACCGGACGGTGATATTCTACATTAGAGGCTAGCAGATTTTTGCTGCAAAAAGTGGCCAGATGGTAAATGCAGTCATCCCTCCGTAACCATGGGGGACTGGTTCCAGGACCCCCAAGGACATCAAAATCTGTGGATGCTCAAGTCCCTTATATAATGTGCTCATTTGCATATAACCCAGGCACAGCCTCGAGTACAGTTTAAGTCATCTCTAGGTTGCTGGCAGTAGCTAATACAACTCAGGTGGTACATACACAGTTATTTTTCTGTATTGTTTAAGGGATAATGACAGGAGACATGGTTTTAGGGTTCAGGGGATATTTTTTAGCCTCCATTGAAGCTGAGGCTTATTTGAAGTATTTGGGCCAGTCAGTGTTCTCTGCTCTGCTGCAGTGTGAAT